TTTTTTTTTTCTAGATTAAATAATTTGTTGGTGTATAAATGTTCATGTAATTTCTTATGATTCTTTGTATTTTTGTGGTTTTAGTTATAATGCTTCCTCTTTCATTTTTTTAAATTTATTTGAGTTTTTACTTTTTTTCCTTAGCCTGCCAAAAGGTTTGTTGTTTTTATTTTTAAAAAATATGAATTTTACTTTCATTGATCTTTTCTGTTGTTTTTTTTTGTCTGTTTCTTTTATGTTCATTTTGATACTTATTTTTTCCTTCCTTTTACTGTGGGTTTAGTTTATTCTTTTTCCTGAGTCTTTGAGGTATGAAGTTATGTTGTTTATTTGAAATCTTAAATTTTAATATAAACATTAATTGCTACATACTTTCTCTTAGAGCTTTTAATACATCCCATTTTTGGTTTATTGTGTTTTCATTTTATTTGCCTAAACATATATTTTAATGTCTTCTTTTTAGATGTATAGTTAAGGAACCTGCTTAATTTCTATTATTGATGAATTTCCTAGTTTCCTACCATTCTAGTGGGAAAATATACTTGATATGATTTTAATCTTAAATTTGTTACAACTTGTTTTGTAGGCTGAAGTATGATCTTTCCTAGAGAAAGCTTTGTATTCACTTCAGAAGAATGAATGTTCTGTTGCTGTTGGATTGAATGTTTTAAGTCAGTCTGTTAGGTACATTTACTGTATAGTTCAAGTCCAGTGTTTTCATATTTATTTTGAATCTGGATTATTTATCCATTGTTTAAAGTTGGATATTGATATCTCTTWCTAATACTATATTCAAGTCTATCTCTTTAGAACTCTTAGAATTTGCTTTATATATTTACTTAGGTGCTTCAATGGTGGATGCAAATGTACTTACAGTTCTGAATAACTTACCCTTTATCTTTATGTAATGACCTTCTTTGTCTAATTTTACAGGTTTGATTTAAAATATTTTTGGTTGAGTTTTTATGTAGCCATACTATCCATCTTTGGGTTTCCATTTGCATGTTATATCTTTTTCATCCCTTCACTTTCAGTGTATATATGTACTTAACGGTAAAGTCAGTCTCCTCTAGACAGCACTTACTTGGTATTTGTTTGTTTGTTTGTTTTATTCATTTAGTCTCTCTGACTTTTGATTGGAGACATTAATGTATTTATATTCAGCATAATTACTGATAGTAAGAACTTAGTGCTTCCATTTTGTTCTTATCTGGTTGTTTTATAGATCCTTTGTTCCTTTCTTCCTCTCTTACTGTCTCTTGTGTGATTAGATATGAGGTGGTTATAAAAAGTCAAACAGTCTTATAGCTTATAAAATAAGCTGTTTAAACCTGAAAATAACTTATCTTTGGTCTTATAAAAATTCTGCAATTTTATTCCAATTCCCACAATTTATATTTTTGGTGTCATAGTTTATATCTTCTAAACTGTGTATCCATTAACAAGTTATTTAGATATTATTATTTTAAACATTTTTCTTTTAACCTTTATATTGAATATATAAGCGATTCACATGTCAGTCACCTTTATAGCATTAGAATATTTTGAATTTGACTGTGTACTTTTATACCACTGAGTTTTATACTTTCATATTACTAGATAACATCCTTTTCTTTTAACTTGAAGAATTTCCTTTAGCATTGATTGTAAGAGAATTCAGATRGTGATGAACTCTTTCCTTTGCCAAATAAAATGTTCTTGGTTGGAATTTTTTTTTCCTTTAGTACACTGAATATACTCCTGGCTTATATTGGTTCTGCATATATGTGATAAGCTTCTCTTGCTGCTTTCAAAATCCTCTTTGTCTTTACTTTTAGCCATTTGATTAAAGTTTGTCTTGGTGCACTTTTGTTTGGAATCCGTGAGAATGCAGACTTGTCCTTCCTGCACCTGGATGTTTATATACTTACCTAAATTTGGAGAGATTTTTAGCTATTAATTATTTGCATATGCTTTCTGTTCATTTGTCCTTCTCTTCCCCTTTTCTCACTCCTTTGACTTGATTTACTCTGCTGATAATATCCCATAATCATACTCAACTTCTTCATTTATTTGCATTCTCTTTTTATATTTACAGTAAATTTTTCTTTTTTTCTGATGAGTTCTATTAACACTATCAACTGCATTTTTTATTTCATTCATTTTATTTTTCAGCTTCAATTTTTCCTTATTTTTAAAAAAAATTTCAGTTTATCTGCTTGATTTTTCATTTTGGTCATTCATTGTTTCTTGATTGTGTTGAACTATTTCTCTGAGCTTCTTTAAAATAATTATTTTGAATTCTTCATCACACATTTTGTAAATCTTCACTTCTTTAGGATAAGCTACTGGGACATTATTATGTCTTTTTTTAGGGATATGTCTCCTTAATTTTTCACATTTTTTATTGCCTTACATTGTTATTGTGCATTTGATAGAACAGTCATCTCTAACTTTACAGGCCAATTTTGGTGTGGGAAGGCCTTCCCCTTTGTGCCATGGAGTAGGAGRATATTTTCTGGGTGGGGCAGTGGTTCCAACACCAGTGACAGCACAGCTTTGTAGTCTTGCAGCTCTGCTGATGAGATCAGTCTTGATGAATATTCTGAGATCCTTATTGAGTGGCATCTTTTGTGGTGATGTCTACTATGGTACTTCCAAACTCTTTTCTTCCACCAGGAAAGTCTGCTGATGTTTTCTCAAGGTTTTCTCAGCACAATAGTGATGAGTAGAAAGCATCCATAGACCYGAGCCTTGAAACATAGGGACATATTGAGGGACTGTTACTGTGATACCTCAGCCAGTGATGGCACTGGTTCTTGGTACACCCACTGCTGCATTGGTAGCAGTATGCAAGGCATGAATACTTGTGAAACAGGAAACTGAGAATGGGAGCACAGTCATGGTCAGAGTTGTAGTGTTCCAGGGTTAGTGCAGGCATAGTTCTGTATGGTATCTGAGCTAATGTCCAAAACATAGGCACATTCAAAGACCATGGCTCTGGATCCCAGAGTGCAAACTCTCTTGCTATAGGAGGGACTTTGTCTAAGATGTGAGAGATTTCATTGTAGCCACAGAGAACATATCTGGAGTATCCATACTCACAGGTAGTCTGCGGCTTGTAGTTGGAATAGGTGATGGCTCAGTTCTAAAGTGGCATAATAGTGGCTACTTTTTGAGGGAAGATGTGTGTGCAGAGGGGAGTTAGTTCCTATTATAAGCTTTAAAGAAACTATTTATTTTCAATGATAAAGGTATATTTGTTTACCAGACCACCTTTTTGAAGTGTAAATTCCCCTGAATCTAAAAGAATGTTCTTTCATTTCTGTACTATCACAGTGAATATATTTGGTAAATGTTTCTAACACATTTATTTCTTTTATCCCAATGGTAATGGACTTTTAATGAACAAATGAAATGTATAAGAAAAAAATGTCCCTGGTTATGATCAGTAGACTTGATGTTCTAATTAGTCTACTTCTCAGAAGCCCAGTTTTCTTGCCTGTAGAATGTTGATAAGCATTCTGTTTACCTCACAGGGCTTCTGGCATATTTCTTAATTAGTAAGCAAATAATAAAGCTACCTTCTGCTTTTGCACTGATACTGCTTTTGTTTCATGTTATGCTTACCATTGCCCACTTTTTTAGGCCTTCCTTTTATTTTCCTTATATTTAGGCCAAATAAATTTTATAAGGTACAATTATGTTTCTTTTCATGTCCATGTACCTGTTTTGGTATAATGCTGCTCCTCTCTGCCTTGCATACACTTAGCATGAGACCACATCTAGTCACTTAATGATCATAACTCTACCTGCTCTRGAAGTGAATTTTTCATCCAAACATGGCCCTAAAATCCTACTTCCAAATATCCTCATATTACCATTGGCAGAAGTATCATGTATTGGAAATCTTTGAGAAAATATTGACTTCAACATTCAATATTGTTATGTGTAAGGTTCTATGCCAAGTATTCTCAGATAATCTGAGTAATTAATTACRAGTTGAGTGTTCCTTATCCAAAATTCTTGGGACCAGAAATATTTCCTATTTCAGATGTTTTCAGATTTCCAAGTATTTGCATATACTCAATGAGATATCTTGGGGATGGAACCCAAGTCTAAACACAGAATCGATTTGTGTTTCATATACACCCTATGCAATTATAAAAGTAATTTTACACGGTATTTGTAGTGCACCTACATTTTGTGTACAACCAGAAACAAAGTCAGGTATRGAATTTTCTACTTGTGGATATTATGTGGACACTCAAAAGTTCTGGATTTTAGAACATTTTGGATTAAGGGATTTGGGGTTTTAGGGATGCTCAATGTGTATAGCAGTTCAGAGAAAAAACTTGAAGCTTTATAAATTGTCCAGGGAAAAATAAGTCATTAGTCATTCATTATGATTATAAAGTCTTTGAAAATAAGAAATTTTCTTCTTTGTTCTCCTCTCCTCCACCAATCAAAGGGAGAAGAAGACAGAAAATGTTAAATAAATCCGAAACTTGTACTTTTTCTGAAAATATTTTTTGGCATCTTAATGAACTAATCTAATCACATTTTTTGTGGACCACGATAAATTTAATTAAGCCAGAACATCTCAAAATACCAATTATGAAAATTACATAGGTAATAAGACTATCAACTGGACTTGAATTAATGATTTTATTTTCCTTTAAAATGCTTTTTCTTTTATTTATTTTTATTAATAGTGAATTATACATAGTATTGGGGTGCATTTTTACTTAATCTTGTAAGCATAGAATATAATTTTCTCAACTTCAGTCCCCAATATGTTCCTTTTCCTTTCCTTCCTCTCTCCCCATTTTCCTTCTGGTCTTTGTTCTATTTATATTGTTTTTAATTAGTGATTCATTGATATAAATCAATGTGGAATTCACTGTGGTGTATTCATGTATGTACATAGTATAATTTCATTCCACCCTTCCTCTTTTTCCTGTCCCTTCTCCTTCCCCATCAATCCCTATTTTTTAATATATTTTGTTATTTATTTGTAGGTACAAGCCAGTTAYGATGTGACACGCTATGAAAATATTTTCTCCTTGTTCTGGGTTCTAGAGCAGCTTCTTCAAATGGAAACCAAAGACCACACTGCCAGTATAAGGCATGATGACCCGGAAATCAAGAAATTTCTTCAGAACCATGATGAAACTATCTTCCAGCTCTCTGATGCATTTCCTCTGTTTACTTTTTATTTATGGAGACTGGGCATTCTCTTGAACTCAGCAGAGATAGAAATTGTTGAAAATAACTCAATTCCCTAATGATTTACAAATATCAGAAGATCTTGTGCATAAATATTTTCAAGAATATTTTAAATGARTGTTTTTAAATTGATATCTAAATGTAATCATTAATTAAATTTAAAGGTTAGTCTTCAATTGTGGATAAATAGATTATGAGTCATCTTTCTATATTAAAATCAGTCTGTTCAGGTGAGACTACTTGCCTCATTCCCATGTAATTGTATCTTATGTCACTCAATATAGTCTAGCTCTATTATTCTCAAAAATGGACCTTTAATTATCTTTCTCATAACAAATATTTGTGAAAGATTTTCAGGTAATAGATTCTAAAAGATAATGAAGGAGATCTTAGAATTTTGTGGCTTTATCAATACAAAGTGTTTAAAACAATTAGTTATAAATGCAGTTTTTAAAACATATTTTCTTACATAACTGTGCTTACATCTCTTATGTCACCATAGAGGGTACTTGCAAAGAAGGAGGAAATTTTTTAATATTTGGAAAACTCGGAGCATTTAATTTTGTATAATGAACATATTCGTCAAGTCTTTTTGAAAGTATTATTTAGTTCCTTAAAATATGCATTGTTTTTTCTCAAAAAATGCATGCTTTGATTGTTGATTGTGTTACAAAATTCCTGTGATTATTTAAATGTAGTTAAGTTGTATATAATTAAGTTGTTAACGATGCTTCTATAAATTCTAAAATCCAACCAGAAAATATACTTTATACTTATATAAAAGTGTTGGTTGAATTTTCCAGTTATGCAATTTAATTGACTTCATTTCAATTATTAAAAAAGTACAACCAACAAGCTTAATAGAACACATTATATACTTTCTTATTGTGCAATTTGAAGTACACCAAATATAAATTTGCTTTATTAATTATATGTGATTTTTATTTTAATTGTCATTTTTAAATGCCATTGGTACTAAAAAAAACCTTGCTAATTCCTTCTACAATATATATAAAATTATATCATCTGCCAGAGTTATGGGGGGAAGGGGGTGTCTAGCTTTCTTAAAAAAATAAAGACTTGGACTGAGGCTATAGCTCAGTGGTAGTACACTTGCCTAGCATGCACAAAGCCCTAACACACTGTGTTAGATTTCTTGCAACAAGTCAACTTTGGTCTCTTCCATATGTGCTTATTCTCAGATCTAGGCTGACAGAGAAGCAGCTATTTAGAGGAAGCTCTTCTTATGGCAGTGACAGTTGAGCAAGATGAAAAAGGCTGGGCTGAGAAATATCACATTGTCACTTGCACCCACACATGTTGGCTCAAGTACATCAAATAACCAAGCCCAAAGAAAAGGAATAGCAAAGTACACTCCACTTGTAGTGGGAGAAAAAGCTATGTGGCAAAAGGCATGAATACAGGAGAGAGTGGAGACTAGAGGCCAATAATTAATTCTAACACAAGTACCAGTTGAACACAAAAATTCTAGATCCTGGATGAGGTCTTTCTATATTTGGATCCTACAAACACCTCTTAAGGTTTCTGTCAGTCACTTCAGTTGGTAAGATTACACAAAACCCACTTCCTGTGATATGTGCATCTTCTCTCTTCCATATTTATTTGAAAAGATTCCTAAGTAGCAGTGCATCACAGTGGCCCTTTTCCCACTGCACCCAACCAACATAATGATCAGCTATGAAACTTTTGTAACTAGACAAATTTTTAATTCCAGTAGGATTCAAGCTTTCAAGGTCTGAAAGTTAAACTACAAATCTTATCTATTATAGGAGATACGAGATGTTAGGATCATTATTACTATATAAAATAGAATGATATTTTATCTCCATTTTGTTTTCTTTTTATGTAAGCACTTAACTTCAGGCAAGAATATGATACCYAACCTTTCATTACCTTCTGTTTCAATCAATAACAGAGTTAAATRTGCAATAAATTTAGTGTTGAGGTTTAAATATGCTGTTAAAAAAGAAAATAAAATGAGACATTTGTTTTTGTATGTTTCAGTAAAAGAGAGAAAAATGAAAGAAAGAAAGAAAGAAAGAAAGAAAGAAGGGAGGAAGGGAAAGAGAAGAAACGTAAGAAAGTCAACCTAGAATTATAGTAGTTAATAATATTATAGTAATTTAGATTTGGCTAATTTCTAATTTTAGAATTAAGGTTTGGGGAATATAAAGAATGAAGACAGTAGGAATTAGGCAGTATTGAAACTGGATAAGGCTGGGAAATAAAGACCATAAGATAATACTAAAACTGGAGGAAATGATAAAAAATGATAATAATTGCTAATACTCATGGTTTTTCTTATATGATAATAAATTAATAGTACATGATTAATTAAATTATGTGATATTTATATTATATGTAATAAAATTTTTATAAATGAATAATAATAATAAATGATACATATATAATAGTAATACATATATAATACTAGCCAGGCACTAAGTTAAGCATTTGATTTTACTTGTTCTTTTTAGATGTGCATATAGTAGATTATATTTTAGCATATTATATATACATGGAGTATAACTTATTCTACTTGGGGTCCCATTCTTGTGGTTGTTCATAATATAGTTTCACTGGTCATATATTCATATATGAACATAGGAAAGTTATGTCCGATTCATTCTACTAACTTTCCTATTCRCATACTCACCTCCCTTCCTTTCATTCCCTTTGTCTAATCCAGTGAGCTTTTATTTTCCACATCCCCCTTATTGTGTGATARCATACAATTATCATTTTACATATAACAATTTATTTGGTCCTCCCAACAACCATATGAGGTAGATATTATTATTTCCATTTAAGATATGAGGAATTCAAACAAAAGAATGTTAAACAATTTGGTCAAGTCCACACAACCAGAAAGTATAAGAGTTAAGTTTCATCCTCAGGAATTCCATCTCCTAATCCAAAGTCTTACTAAGCTACACCGCTTGTTAGGTACTTCATGAGATTTTTTTCACAAATGAAATTTCTTTGCAGTTGTGCTTATAGTATTRTATGCCCTCAAGTACGACTCTTATGGCACAACAGTTGAAATTACTAGCTTATTATTAGTTTATTTTGGTATCTTCAAACCCTGTAGACCAGCTGTCCTATATAACACCGTTTTGAGGAACAGCAACTTTGGCTTTTTCTGAGTTGTAGTTTCTTGTTAATCAAATTCTAGCTAAGTTATAGATAGTCTCCAAACAATAATGTTCTAAAGGGGTGCGAAAGTGTAGAACATAGCCTCAATGCTCAGTGAAACAGGAAAAGAAAACAAAAATGATTGTTTTTTTTCTTGAATCTATAAGTAGATGCAATTATTTCACAAGCTGTTAAAATTTTAAGTATATTTGTTGGTGTTATATAGCAAAAGGAAGTATGTTTCTGTAAAGGCAGGGGAAAAAGCCATACTCATTTCTAAATTTCCATATATATGTATAGATTCTATGAAGGCCATGTTGTAGGGGAGAAATATTAATGGCTCTGGCTTATGGTAACTAGTTTCATTTATTCTTCAAATATTAGACACCAACTTTCTGTGCAAACCAATTATTTACACAAATTTTTAAAAATGCCAAGCTTTATCTTTTGTCAGTTTCCTAAAATTGTTTTAACAGTCAGTATACAAAGCAAACATCCAAATTTGCTAAATGAGAAAATTGTGGTGATGTTTAACTAGTAATGAAAAAAATGTAGAAAATTGTTATTATTATTAAAATTGAATTCATTTCTTTTCAATTTTTTTGCAGAATTAGACAATACTAAATTTATTTGGGCTGTGAATAGGCTGGTCTTTTAAGAATATTCTAAGTATACAGACACACAAAATTGCTAAAGGAAATGTCATCAGCCCCTGTTTTGCATATAAAAGGAGTTTTAAGGATGTATTACTAATAAGAAACAAAGCTTGTGAGAAGAAAATGTTCTAACATTTAGACATTGAAATAACTCAGTTTTATAATTGATATGTATATACACTGAATTCGTAAAATTTTCTTTTGATATTTTAACATAAATTTGCACCAGCTGCTTACATGGTTTGTGAACTTTTATTTTATTTCAGTTAGTATTTATAAGTACTCCATAGCCAGCCCAGGGGGCAAGAATATTACCTGGCAATTATACTAACCGAAGTTGTCTCTGAGCAAGTGTGATCTCCAGGCCAGCAGTATTAGCATAATTTGGGAATWTCTAAGGTACATATTTTAAACCTGCACCAAGACATACTACATAATCAGAAATGCTGTTTTGCAGTGATCTGTTTTATCAAATCTTACAGGTGCTTCCAGTGTCTACCAATGTGTTCTCATTGTTTTTGCTAAACAGAAGGATTGAATATACATGTAAAATTATTCAGAACATGGAAATTCAATCACCTCAAGTTATTTAATTGGATTTTTTAACCTTCCCTAGGTATGCCTAAAAAAAGATTTTTTAGAAACTAATTATTCATGATCCACTTAAAAATAAGTGAATTTATAAATTTGTAAATATATCAKTTGACTATAATAGCACTTTAAAAAATTAACAAGTTTGTACTTAGATATTAATTCCCTTATTGAAATACATAATGATTTCCCATCAGTAGTACTTCTAAAAATTATTGTAATCTGTGTTTAAGAGATGTTATAGCTTTTTTCATAGACCTGGCATAGAGTACTGAACATGAAGAGAGATTCAGACTTGATGTTACTTTACCCTAATAATATCAAATTCCTCTTATTCTAGGAAATCATTATATATATGGTAATTATAACTTAGTTATAAACATATTTCTCAACCCTACAGATGAAATTCTAGCTTTCTTAAATCTTTCTGGAACATAGTAAGATAGAAATAATTAATAAATGATGCTTAATTTAATTTTACTCCTGTGTTGAACTTAACTCTCCTACTTTGGGCCTTTGCCATGCCATGTGAACTTCAGAGTTTAAGCATAACACCCCTGACACCTTATGAGGGGACAGGGCTGCTGTTAGCTTTAACAACTTAACTGCTAAGACATGGTCATGAATGATTAATCATTCAGGGACATGAGAAATGC